ACTAAGGATTCGTGCTCCAGGGGAGGCACAATCTATAGGAGCAGACGTACAACATAGGGGATTGGCGCTGCTCCTGTGGCCTTCTGAGGCCTCCTGCTCCTGGGGCCTCTTGGGGCCTCCTGGTGCCTTCTGGGGCCTCCTGGCTGGTGCCTCCTGGCGCTTCCTGTGGCCTCCTGAGGCCTCCTGTGACTTCCTGTGGCCTCCTGGAGCATCCTGGAGACTCCTGAGGCCTTCTGGAGCTTCCTGGGGCCTCCTGGAGCCTCTTGGGGCATCCTGTGGCCTCTTGAATCTTTCTGTGGCCTCCTGATGCCTCCTGGGACCTCCTGCTGCCTCCTCTCCCGGAGCGTGCTGGAGCCTCCCGGGGAGGATCCGTGCCCAGGATTTTGGCCACCCAAACAAGCAAACTGATCGAGACATCCTCAAATTCTGGCTCCCCTTGGGGGCGAAAATGAGCGCCTCGCTCGAGACATCCTCCAAATCTGCTCCGACAGCGGAGGATGTTGAGTCTTACATCAGGCAAGCCGCTGGAGACGTCCCCGCCATTTTGGCGCGAACGGAGGGGTGCAATACCCCTGGCGGCCCCCCGCGTACGTGTACATATGTTCTTGGCCTCAGACCATCACAGAAAACATACACCAACATCAGTGTGCACGTGGGAATCCAATCGGTCAACGCTAAAAATTCACTCGAGCTTTCAAGCCGGCATGGCGGCCCTTCTAGTGTGGATAATTGACAACTCCCCGCGCGCGCGGGAAGTTCTGCGTGGTCCGTAACATGAACAGTACCGCAGGACGAATGCGAACATGGCAATTCAATCATCCGCCGCGAAAGCTTCACTTGGGCTTCCAGGCCGGCGTGGCGACTTGTCGGTGGTGGGCAATGCAGTGCTGCCCGCGCGCGCGCGGCGAGTTTTGTCCAGAATAGGGATGTCGCCATTTTGGCTGGGAAACGCAAGTGAACCTTGGCAGGTGGCCGACTCGATATCTAGATTAATATGGATTCTGATGTGTTGAAATGAAAACCGTGCAGACCCCACATTCGCGCGCGCGTTTTGCGAATATTGTTCTCGACAATCAGAAGGTCGCCGTGCTAGCCTGAGAGCTCCACGAAACCCTTGATGGCAACGATTTGGATTTCCGCGTTGACATTGGTTCTGGTGTATTTTTCTACGACGGACAATCCAGAACTCACCGAGGGCGCGCGCGCTCGCCGCGGAACGCGCGCGAGTGAAATTCTGTATTATCAACCATAGAGAAACTGCCATGTTGGCACGGGGACTCGAACGAAACCTGTGCATGTTTATGCTTTCGGCGATGCAGAACTTCCTGCGCGCGTGCCGCGGCGCACGCGGGGGCGATTTAGTATTGCCCCTTTTGAAAAAAAAATCGCCACGGATGCCTTGGAGCCCATGTGCGCCTATGGCGCTGACAATTTGGATTTCCGCGTGAACATTGGTGCTGGTGTATGTCTTCGGCTGTGGGCACTGCGGAACTTCGCAATCGCGCGCGTGCGCGCCGCGGCGACCGCGCGCCTTTGAGGGGCATTCCAGTGTCAACAAAAGAACAAAGCCACGTTGTTTTGGAAACTCAAATGTACCTTTTGCGGTGGCCGATTGGATTTCCAAGTCGACATTGGGTCGGGCGCACGTCTTCGATCGTGGCCAGTGCAGAGCTCCCCGCGAGCGCGCGCGCGTGTGGTGAATTCTGCAAGCTCAACAAAAAAAGCGTCGCCACGCTGGCTTGGAAACTCAAGTGTGCCCTCAGCGGTGACCGATTGGATATCCGCATTCGCGTGGGCTCTGGTGTGCGTTGTCCTGTCGGCCCCCCCGCGCGCGCATCCGCGGGCGGGGTTGTTCCTGCATTGTCCGCGCGAGCAAACTCGCCATGTTGGCCTAGAAACTCAAGTGGGTCCTCAGCGCGGGCGTCCCACTCGCGCGCGCGTTTTTTTTTTTTTTTTTGTTTTTTTTTTTGTTTTGTTCTTCTTCTTTTTTTTCGATGCCCGCATTCGAAAGATCGCCATGTTGGCGTGGAAACGAACGTGACAACTAGTGGTGACCGAATGGATTTCCACGCCAGCATTGGCTCGGCTGCGTGTTCGACGATGGACAATGCAGAACTCCCCGCGGGCGCGCTCGTGGGGAGCTCTGTTTTGCCCACAAAGCAAAAGCAGCCACGTTTGCATGGCAGTCCATGTGGACCCTTGGCGGTGGCCGATAGGTCCTTCACGTTATCACGGCTTCTCATGTATTGTCCACAATAGAAAAGTTGCCAGATTAGCCTGGCAACTCAAGAGAACCATTGGCGGTCGCCGATCGGATTTCCAAATTTACAACATCCCTGGAATATCCTGCAATGGCCAATACAGAACACTCTGCGGGCTTTCGCGCGTGGGGAATTCTGTAGCGTCAACAACGGACAACTCGCCATGTTGTTTTGGATTGTCAAGTGAGCCCTGAGCGGTGATCGATCGGATTTCCAAGCTTCCACGAGTTCCGGCGCATGTTTCTTAAAAGGGGTCAATGCTGAACCTCCCACGCGCGCGCGATGGGAAAGTTCTGTGGAACCCACCTATTATATGGACATCATGTAGATTGCATGGCAATCGTTGCAAGAAGTACTTACGGTGTTGTTAGGGTTCCTCATCTCTTCTGGGCATTCCGATGTTTCCTCCCCGAATCCACACGTGAGGCCGCGCGGCCCCAGAGACCCCGAGACGCAGCACGAGCACCGCCGCAACCCGGCCGAACGGCTGGCCGAGCAAGACCGCAATGACGCCCAATACAAATAATTGCCATGGCCCCTGGTGGATCCCAACGGCACCAAGGGGCATCGCCGAAGCAAACGTCCAAATGCAAAATAACAAATGATTGATGGCCCCAGCTTTGCTATAGAAGGCTCGAAGAATACCGGAAACGTCCCTTGCAGGGGCTCGAGACGGCCGACAAGTGCCATCTTGGAAGCCCGAGCGGGCCTTCCAGGGCCATCTTGGAACTCCATTCGCCCCGCCCCCCACCCCCTCCCACCCCCAGGCCACTTCAGAGCCCGACTCGGGCTGTTGGACCAAGAGGGAGGAGGAGGGAGGAGGAGGAGGAGGAAGAGGAGGAGGAAGGAGCAGGAGGAGGACGAGGGGGAGGAAGGAGGAGCAGTTGTAATAGCAGTGGTTGTTGTTATTGTTGAATGATGTTGGGTTTCACTGGTTCGCCGGCTCATGATGATTCCAAGGCGTCGTCGGAGTAGCAAAAGGATGTCAAAAGAGGAGGAGGAGGAGGAGCGTGCGCAAGGCGATTGCGATGGCGATGTGCCGTCCGAGCTGTGGATGTCGAAGTTATTCGGAAGAGGTGGTGGCAATACTTTCTTGGGCGGGAGACCTGGGTGAGGGAATATTGGGCCCCGCATTCCAGAAACATCCCCCATAATGGGGTGTGGTATCCACAAGGGTACATGTGACATGTGGAAGCATGGCACATGATGGCAACATGATTGTTGTTGTTGCTGTTGTTGTTGAGAGAGCCGCTCCCGCGGCCAAACTACGGTTTCAAGTGCGTAGGCAACGCTTTTTTTGCAGTACGAAGAAAACATGTGCTTGTTAGTATTATTCCAAACATATAATTCGATATGCGCTCCCTAACTTTTGATAACTGTTCCTGGCACCCTTCGGCTCAACTCGACTGCCACCCAGAAAATAACAGGAACAGGTGCAACCCAGGAGCTTCTCAGCCCAAGATGGCTGCGAGAGGGTGTCCAAGAGAGCCCTTCTCGCCAGTAAGTCTGCCCAAAGTGGCCCCAAGATGGTCCAAGATGGCCTCAACAGAGGGTCCCAGAGGCTCTCTCGTTGCTCTCTCGCGCCGTCTGGGGGCCCTCGGGGTCGGCCCACATCGCTTAACAAACACTTGGTGTTTCAATGATGATCGGGTCCCGGCTGTTTCGGTCTTGCGGGCGTCCAAGATGGCCGAAGAAGCCCCCAGGACGAGCCCAAGACAGCCCAAATACACCCTCAAGAAGACACCAAGACTGCCCAATATGGTCCCAAGCGGTCCGAGAGAGCCCCCAAACGGCCCCAAGATAACCTAGCGATGCACCCTATACTGCCTCAGAAGGCGCCAGACGGCCCGAGAGCGTCCTGAAACGGCCCAAGAGAGCCCTAAGAGGGCCCCAGGAGGCTTCCAAGAAGGTCAACAAGATCGAAACTAGCCCCAACATAGCCCCAAGACGGCCCTTCCCAAGTGTTCTCCGGAGGGGGGAACGCAGCCCTCTAGTGTGGCCGCGCTCCTCGCTCGATATATTGCGGCGCAGGCGTTTCCACATCGCCGGTGATTTCCCGTAGGGATCTTCGACTAGATGTCACCCTCTCCACTCCTCGAAAACGAAGCCCACTGCGGTTCGCCCGACTTCAGGTGCTGCCATGGTGCCTCTGGCCAATTTTGTCGAGCTGCGTCCAGCCGTGGCGCCGAAGGGGGGCCTCGAGGACCAGAAAGTTGTCTTGCCCGCAGCAGGCCGCTTCCCCTCTGCTAAAGCGAAGGCCTCCACGAGGGAACGGAGACCAATGGCGGAGGGGAACATGGCTCATCCCTGGAGCCGCCAAGTGGACAGAGAGAGAGCAACCGCGGAGGAACCATCACGGCCATGAAAGAGAGAGAGAGAGAGAGAGCGGGTGAAAGCACACCGAACGGCCACCTCGCCAGCGCTGGTCCGAGGCAGCGCCCGATACCCACCTGCGAGGAGGAGGGGGAGGGAGGAGGCAGAGGCGGAGGAGGCGGAGGAGGAGGAGGAGGAGGAGGAGGAGGAGGAGGAGGAGGAGGAGGAGGAGGAGGGAGGGAGGAGGCGGAGGAGGAAGGGAGGAGCAGGAGGAGGAGGGAGGGAGGAGGAGGAACCGCACCTGCTGCTTACGTGAAGGCGGGGTGGCTTCCAAAAAAGCCTCCCCGCCTTCCAAGAATGCCGCCCTTCCCACGCCGGGCCCCCCTTCCTGCGCGCCACTAGGCTTGGTCGAACTGAGCTCCCGGCAATGATGACGAAGCCGGCGCTGGCCGACCCCAGCATGAGCCCCCACCGCGGCTCCTGGCAAGATGGGCGATACTCAAAACGTCGAGCTGATGATGCCGGTGATGGTGGTGATGATGCTAGTAACTATGCGCTTGGCGCACGATGGGTGGCGTGAGAGCGGCAGAAATGGTAGAGAGAGGCGGCGGGCGAGTTGGCGGCAACTCGCGAGCTGACGAACATGGCACGCAGGCGGCTGGACAAAGTCTGCCACTGTTTCGACGAAGGTCTCAATGGTGGCCGTGCGCAAGCGTCGCGAGGCGGCCTGGAGCCTGTCGGGCACGTGCTGACAGCACTGATTGGGAATCCGCGGACCAGGCGCGCGGGAGCCAAGATCCACGGATCGGGGAAGATACCCCCCCGAAGCGTAAGCCAATGCCGCCCGACTCGGCGACGGAGCTCGCCGATTCTGTACGGAAGCGGTGCCCGCCGCTAACCCGGGAGTCGCCAATCCGTGCCTGCGCTTCCTCGACCCTGGCTCGCCACCGTGCGTTGCACTGCTTCGCAGCGCTTGGCGTTGATTGGCACTGGTTGGCTCCCCTTGGCATTGCTTTGCTTTGCTTGGTCTTGCTCTGTTTTGGAATGCATTGCTTTGCATTGCCTCGCATCGCTTGGCATTGCTCGGCATTGTTTTGCCCTGCTTTGCGTTAGGGGTTGCTCGGCATTGCTTGGCATTGCCTAGCACATCTGTGCACTGCTTGGCATTTCTTGGCATCGCTCGGCATTTTGTTGCATCTACTGGGGCAGCGACTCTTCAAACAAGAAGGGACCCTGGGGAACCGGGGGAACGCCGGCTGGCGCAAGCCGCACACGCACTGGCTGTTCCCAAAACAGAGAGGCACCCACTGGGCAGGCCCACTTCGGGACACTCGGGGAGACTTGGCCTAACGAGGCCGTCAGGAAAATGACGGGACCCAATTTAAAACTTGACGCGAGCTCCCAGTGCAAACATCCCAAGAAAACCGGACCGTGGAAATCCAGACGGGCTCGTCTAAATGCACGGCAAACCCGAACTCCGGCGAACTCGAATTTAACGTTTCCCCGATAGATACCTTCAGCGACTGGAAGGTGATCGACAACCGCCCCCGCGAGAAAACCGCGCGCCGCCCGCAACAAGAAACCGAGCCCGCCGACCTAACTCGCCCAGAACGCTGTCTCAAACATGCGGCGTCTCGACCCCTTCGAGGCGCGGGCCCCTCACTCAACCTCTCGACCCCTTCTCCCCGGGACCGGCTCTTCATCCTGGGCCGTGATTTGACGGCCAGGAAGCCCAACAAGGGCCCCGAGAGACCATCAACGAGGGAGATCCTCCCTCCCGGCTTTCTCGAGATGCAGGACGTCTGGGGCTGTTTTTCTCCAGAGGCCCAACCGTCGAGGCTTCGCCAACGGGGACTTAGCTAAACGGGGACTTGGGCTTTTCCATACGCGCCCGCTTACTACGCCCCTGTCTATGGCGTCCAGGACCCCCAGAACGGGTGCATAGCCAAACGTGGAAGTCGGCGTTCCCCGTGCCCCAGTTTGCTGTGCTGAGGTGCAACGATGGGGTGGGACTGGCAAAGGGGGGGGAATCGACCTGGAATCGGCGATGCATCACCGATAGATCGGCGATAAGCCCATGATGGCGAATCCCCGCGTTCCCGGGCAAGTTTTGGCTATCGGGCCCCTATCGGCGATGAACGGGGATTTGGGGTCGATGTATCCCCCACTATGCCTATCCCTCCTGTCATTGCCCCTGGAACAGACCGTCCCGGCATTCCTATCGGCATACCACGAGATGTTCTTAGAACCAGAATGCTCGAATAACGAAAGCAAAACTCTTAGAGCAAAAGGCCGATGTAAACAAAGCGGTCCCAGCCAGAAATGTTCTAAGAACACGTCGCGCAAACCGCAAAAGGTTCTTAGGACACTCTCTGGTGGGCCTATGGGAAGGCCTGGACGCCTCGTCACAGCTTGACTGGTGTGCCCCCGTCTCTGGCGCCCTGAAGCGGGCCTCCTCTGCTGCTGCCGGGCCGGCGCAGGCGCCGGAGGCCGCTCTCGTCAGGGCGGTCCCAAGGGGGGGGGGGCGGCGGCCTGCCCGCCGCCCGCGGGTGGTCCGCCCCCGAAGGCCACGGCCAAAACGAAGGCAGAATCCCAGACGGTCTGGGCTTTTGCCAGATGGGGACATACCCCTCGAAACCCGCAGGAAACGGCCTACGAATGCCCATCCAGGGGGGTAGATCGGGCAGTGGGGTGCCGTTGGGAATAGGAGTCGCGTAATCGATGCCCAGATCGGCTACACGCAAGAATGACCCTGGGCAAGAATGACCTTTGGTACGCGGCTTCACGGGGGACGCGGGGTGGCCAAACCTAGGCGCGCAAGCCGCTGCTACCGCTACCGCGTCGCGCTTAGCGAGCAAGGGACCCCACTGGGCCCGCACCAAGGGAGAGGAGGGGAACGAACAATGACATAAACATAAAACGCGGAGGTCCGCAGGGATTTCTCAGATCGGCGCTGGACCCCCCTCCCTGGCGCGCGAAGCGCGCCAGGGGTGGCGCCGGAGGCCCAGCGTCGGGGGGGCGCCAGGGGCGGCACCAGGGCCCGCTCTTCCTGCACCCGTGCTGCGGGTCGGGGCCGCCCGCCCGCTGCCCGGTCCTGCGCGCAGGAAGTCGTGGCCACACCAGACAGGTGCGAGCTGTGTCCTTCGACGTGATATCTGGGACGACGCAGGGGTCCAGGGGCGGCCAGGGCGGGGGGGGGCAGGCGACGAGGGGTCGCCAGGCCTGGGCGCCAGGTCGCTGGGGTCGCCGGAAGGGGGCGTGGTGGCCCCGAGCGCGAGGGTGCCAGGGGCCAAGCGGCTGCCGTCGTGACGGCCTCCGCGCGTGGATCGTCCAGCCTTGAACGATCGAGGCATTCCACCCTCTGCGGCGAATCACGGGAGCCTCCCATTTCGTCTGTCTTGCTGGCTATTGTGGATCGGCGCTAACTGACGCTTCTCGACGCTGAACAACATTAAACGACGCGAAATCGGCGCTGGTCCACGCTACATCGGCGCTAGTCGACGCTAGCCCATCGATTGTCAGACGCCAGCGCACGCTAGTGCACCCTAAAGGTGGAATTGCGCGGACATGCAAGGCTCCCGTCAGTTGCTACCAAATCCGATACAGCATTGGCCGCCCGCACAGGGGGGTAGGGGAAGGGGGAAGGTTCTTAGAAGGAGGCTGCTTCTGAGAAGGGCCCGGCCTTACATCTACAGACAATGCCCGCGTTCTCATAGAAGCAGGGTGCTTCTAAGAAGCCTTCCCCCCTCCCTCTACCCTCCTCTGCACGTGGCCGACAGCAGCCACACGCGATGAGACATCTCGCTATACGAACTCTTGGGGCACTCTCTTCGTCGATCCTTGCGGGTCCTCGGGCGCCCCAGAAACCTCCGTGGGGCCCTGGGGCCACCGGGAGCTCAGAACATCTCGTGGGGCACATGCTGGCAGGCCGGCTTCTTGTTTGACGTGCGCACTGCCTCTGCAGCTGAGCTCGCTCGATATCGGCCGATATTCCGGGCCACCAGCGGCGTGCAGCCTCTGAATTCCCGCGCTGGGGTCGTCGCCGCGTCAGCGCGGCGCGGACCTACGGCAGGCAAGAGTGACCCTTTGGTGTGCAAGAGCGGCCTTTGGTGAGCAGCTGCAGGGGGCCGCGGGGAGGCCAACTCCGTGGGGAGAGCACAAGGCAGTGCTGGGAGGGGGGGCGCATGTGGGCCCGCACTGAAGGTCACTCTGGCGAAGGACCGCTCTTCGCAGCCGAGCCGCGCGTAGAGCGCCGACCACGAGCAGGAAGCGTCCTGTAACGCTCCCGAACTCCGATGCCACACAACGGAGCGGTGGGATGATGCTCCTGAGCCGACGCCGGGGTCGAGGCCCTGCAGAAGAAGGCGGGCCTGGCCCTGAAATCAGAGGGAGGACTGGCCGTGAAGGGCACGCGCATGTCTTGAGCGTGCTGAAGACCACTCGAGATCTTAGTCGGTTTTGCACGATGTCTCGAGCCCAGCATGGGAGCGATGGCGATGACTAGGATCACGGAGATGTTTGGCGTGGGCCAGATGGGAGACAAGCGAACTGCCTATCATTCAGCATTCCCACGCCTGCCCTGCGTAATAGCACGGGTGAGACAGGAGCTTCAATCGTCGACTCTTCTCCTTTTCTCTTTCTCCACACTTCTCGCGGAGGTGGACTCCTCGTTTCTTCTGGGGTGCACTCCTGGGGTGCACTCCTCACTTCTCCTCTCGCTGGATCCCCGGTTGCTCTGCCCACCGTCATCGCTGTTGCAAGCTGCTGCGCCATGACAACTCGCTTGGGCAGGCTCTTCATTTGCCTTGGCCTTGTCATCCGAAGCTCCATCAGCTGACGACGACTCGCCCGAGGAAGATTCTGACTGCGAGGACGAAGAACTGGATGAAGAGCATGAGTCTTTCTTCTTTCTCTTTTTTTCTTTGCCTTTGCTTTTCTTTGCCTTCTTCTTTTTCTTCGGTGTCTTCTTGTCCTTTTTTTTCTTCTTGTCTTTTTTCTTCTTATCCTTCTTCGTCTTCTTCTTGACCTTCTTTCCCTCCTTGGCCTGCAGCTTGGCGGCCTTCGCCTGCTCCCGCGCGTCCTTCGCCTGCTGGTCCTTCACCAGCTTGCTGTTCACGAACTTATCCATCATCTGCTCGATCGTCCTCGGGAGGCAGAGCAAGCGGTGAGGCAGCGGAGAACGTCACGATCGGCGAACATCCACACCCACGCTCTCGCGGCCTGTACTCTCGGACGTGATCCCGTGGATACGCGGTCGCACGGCCACGTTCCGCGCGGGGCATCCGCGGAACAATGCCCCGTACTCACTCGGGCCTCTACTGACCGGGGTCAATGCACACCCGGCTCAGTCAGGTTTTGCAGGATCCTGCAGGATCCTGCGCGCGTGCCTGGGTCAGAGCACCCCTGGCCCTGCAGGATCCTGCAAAATCTGGCGCTCTGGCCGACCCCCCCTTTGCACTGACCCCCGCTTCCAAGCTTCCGACGTATCCAACCTCAACCTGCGATGGCCTTTGGGACCGGGTCCGGGCGAAAAAACGCGCGGGATGAACAAACACTGGCGCCAGGACCTCAGCGAGGGCACGCACGCGCGCGCGCGCGGTTGCTGCCCCCCCCTTGCCGTCCGCACGACCGAATCTGACTCTCGGTGCCGTCTCGGAGCTCGGGAGCCTGCCTACGGGCCCCCAAATGCGTAAACTTAGCTCGCGGGCTCCCTTCGTGCACTGCATAACGGTGCACTGGGTTGGTTCTGGTGCTCGTTTTGTCGCTTTCTGGAGCGGGGAGGAGGAGAAACGGAAGGCCTGGAGAGGACGACGCAGCCAGGGACAACGACGAACGACAACGGACGACAGCGAGACGCGACAGCAGCAAGCACACACAGTAGCAGGAGGGAAGGAAGGGGGAGGAAGGGCGAACGCGCCCGGTGTGGCCAGGATTAGAGGCCTCCCAGATGTGGTCCGCATAGGTGGGGTCGGGCGGCGTCGGCGATGCAGCGGCGATGCCCGCGTGGAGAACATCAGGTTACACATTGAACCGCATCGCCGATGCATCGGCGATGCGGCGCGATCCTCCGACCCCATTTACTCGGACCCCATCTGGGAGGCCTGGACCGTTGCCGTCTGCACGGCCGAGTCTGGGCGAAAGCGGTAGGTGTGAAACAGTGCGACGCCAGGATCTAGGGTTAGGTCGGGCATGTCCTCCTACAAGCGGATTTCGGAAGAAAAGCGAACAATAACCAAACCATATTCAGACTTATTCAGAAATAGTTGAAAATCAGATTGTTGGACAACTTTTGAATATTCCTCCTGTCGAGGGACATGCCCGACTCAAATCCAGGAGGGGGGAGGATACGAACGCGCGCGCGCGAGGGGCGAAGCGCGCTTGCGCTTGTGCGGGCAGCTGCGCGCGTGCCGCTGCGCAGCGGCAGTTCGTGCCGCGCGGCAGCGGCACAGGGGCGGCAACGGCGTGGGTCCCCAAGACGGTGCGGTGACGGACCGCGCGGCGGCACCGGAGTCCCGGGAGTCGGGGAACAGACCGTGTTACAGTCGTGAGCTTTCGGAGGTGGAAACGGACTTCTCGGATCAGCGCTGGAGCCCCCTGGCGGCGCGTCCAACAACTTATGCTTATGCCAGCGCGTGGTTCCCCGAAGGTGACCTCACAGCACGGTCCGTCGCCGGACCCTGCGCGGCCCCCGCTGCCCGAGACGCCCTCGGTGAACGTGCCGAGTCCCAGGACCACGCGGCCACCCCGAACCCCCCCTGACTCGCCACGCGGTGTGGTCACCGTGCCGTCTCGGGGCCCCCGAGGCGATGGCGCGCGGACGCCGGGCCGTGTCCTGCCAGGGTCGGCCACCAGCGGCACCCGCGAGCCCCCGAAACCCGCCTTCTCGCCGAGCCTCTGGGCCTTCAGCGCGAAGGCCTCTTCGGGCGGGGGCTCCCCCCTTCCCTCCACGGGGAGGGGGGGAGGAGGGAGGAGAGAAGAGGGAGGAGGATGAGGGAGAGGAGGAAGAGGAGGAGGAGGAGGAGGAGGAAGAGGAGGAGGAGGAGGAGGAGGAGAAGCATGACGAGCAGGAGGAGGAGGAGTGCACGTACCCAAAGAGGAAGAGACGAGGGCAAGCGGACAATAGGCGAGACGAGGGCAAGAAGTCCGTCCGCTCCTGGCCGGCAAGCGCGCGTCTACTTCCAGAGCATTGCTTTGGCAGCGCTCAACCCTTCAGCTATCGAAGCTGGAGTCGGCGAGGCGTGCTTCATTTTGTGGGCGCAGTGAAAGGAGAGCACAATCCGCTGATTCGACCGCGACGTCGAGATCTCGTTCGCGGGCTCAGACGGATAGGCTGCATCGGGGCCATCGCCCCTGGATGTAAGCGTGCTGTGGAGGTTGGTCGAGGTGGGGGAGCAGGGGAGGCTCAGGAGGACCGAGCGGGCGAGGTAAGGAGGGACTGAATCGGGCGATGCTGTGCACCCAGACACACAAGAATTCAGCAGGCGAACGTGCATGCTGTGGGTCGTAGTTTGTCCACCTGCGAGGGCCTTATAGACCAGCCAGCGCCAGTTCGTGCGTGTCGAACGCGATCGTGAGGAGGCCAGTGTCGACGGCGCAGCCGCCCAGGAAGTGCTTGTCATAGTCATGCATGCCGTCGTAGGTCATGATGCGCAAGGCGATGTGGCGAGCGCGAAGGACCATGGCGAACACCCAAGCCGAGCCACACACGGGGCAGCCCTGGGCCGAACCAAGTTCGAACGGGAGCATGAAGTAATGAACGCCATCATCATTGAGGATGCTGTAGGGAGCGAGGTACCGCTGGCGAGAGATGCGCATCGGGCCCTCAAGGATGCCGTGGTACTCCAGCGACGCAAGGAGCCAGCCGCATCCGAGCGACAGGGGCAGACCCGCGCGGTCGATGCTGTAGAAGACGGGCTTGTGCTTGCCGGCCTTTGGTTGGACTCCAGCTTGATGCATCTCGGTGCCGAGGATGGTGATGTGGCGCATCTCGGCGGCGGGGTTGATGATGTGCTTGGTGAGGATGCAGCCCGCTACCAAGCCTTGCTGCAAGTAGTACGTCCGCTCTGCCACAGCGGATTTGGTGGGGATGATGGTCGCCTGCGAAGGCAATGATATCTGTGTGCTCGAGGGGCGGCGGGCGCGTGTCCCCAGGGCGGCGGTTCGTGGTGGGCACGCCTATGATGATGACGCCCTTCGGCATGATCGCGAAGGCATGGTCGTGCAGGACGAGGGCGAAGACAGGGTTGAAGCAGAGGTGCGAGGCAAGGTCCTCCAGCGGGCCAATGGGCACGCACGCGGCGAACCAGGCGCGGTGCGGCGCGAGATCGAGCCCAGACGCAGGTGGGGACGAGCGTGGCAGAAAGCCTCTGAAATGCGACTGGATGAGCGCGCCGCCGTCATTGATGGGATGGCTGAGCGAGAGCGCGACAATGCACTGTTGGACCGTGGAGGCAACGACGTGCTTGCGCTTGAGGACGGGGGTCCAGAGGGCGCGGAGAGCAACAGCCAACGCGCAGCTCTCTCTGGCTACTCCTGGGTGGCCCTCGGGGTCGGTGGTTTTGATTCCATGGGTGACCAGGCGGCGCTTCCAGGTGTCCCAGAGAAGGGCCCTGCGCAGGGGAGATCGGTTGACCTTCCTGAGCCTCTTGGGATCGGCGGCTCCTAAGGGGCCTCGCGGCAGCTGAGCTGCACGGTGTGCCAGAGAGCGCCGCCGAGCCTCGAAGTCGCGGTGCAGCGCGGCAGACTTCATGGTGAACTCGGCGGAACTCGTGAGCACGATGGGCCCGATGTCGACGTTGAGGAACTTGGCGGCAAGCTGAGGTGGGTTGTAAACGACGTGCTGGGCGAGCGTCCTGGCGCCAGCCCGCCCAACGGTGGCTAGACGCGCCACGTGGCCTCCACAGTGTCCGCGAAGAGTGCCTGGAGCGACGTGAGGCTGGCGCCGCGGTCAAGGTCGCGGAAGGCGGCAAGCTCGGACGCCTTCTCGTTCCACTCCAGGATGGTGGGATCGGCTTGTCCCTTAACGTCGAGGCGCGCGACGGGCATGGCGTTGCAGTGGATCTCGCCCGTTGCCCGGTGAGCTCTCCATGACTTTTGAGGATGTCGGTGTTGAAGGGGCTGGAGGAGCTGCTTGCGCTGGATCTCGGTGCGAATCTGCTTCGGCGGCTGGTCAGGGTTGAGGTAGATGTCCATTGGCGTGCCCGAGGTGGCGACGGAGGTGGAGCGCTTCCATCTGCCTCCAGCGTCGCGTAGGGCTCGTGTCAGCGCCAATGCGCGTGGGATGGCCACGTCGCGCCCGCCTTTGGCTTGTAGCGCGAATCTGCGCGCGGGCTCGTCTCCGCGAAGTTCGACGGCGTCGGGGCCCAGGTTGGCGGAGGCGATCCACCCCTGTAGGTCGTTGAGGGGCGCGTCGGGCTCGATGGCCCGCTGTGCCCCGATGGTGAAGATCGTGGGGTCGATCTCGCGGCCCCAGTCGGCGAGATTCGTAAGGTCCGCGATCGGCGCCTGGGCCTCGGCGAGCGCGAGGGTCTCTCGCATCTGGTCGATCTGTATCCACATATTCTTATGTTCCTCTGCTTGACGGTCTTGTTCTCTACGGGTGCGTGCGACGACGTCGTGAAGGGTGTCGACTCGTCGTTCTGTAGCTTGGGCTTGCTGTGCAAGAAGTTGACGAAAGCTTTCGCGTGAATCATTGAGTAAGACGTTGGCTTGAGCTTGGAATGTACTGGCGGCATGTGCGACTTGAGCTTGCATGAGATCTTGAAGAGCTTTGTCGAGCTCGGGGTCCAGACCTGGGAGGCGAGCGGGGTCGCCTGGCGTAGCGGTGTCGGTATCGGCGGCGGCTCCGACGGCGGCAGCTCCTCCAGCGGCTGCTGCGCCTCCAGCACGCCATGGGTCAGCATCAGCGAGAGGGTCGTGGCGTAGAGCATCGCCTTGGAGTTGCGGCGGCGGCGCGGATCCTTCACCAGCTTGAAATTGGCGAGCGTTGGCGGTGACGGCAATGCGGGCAGAGTGAGCAGCTTCTTCTTCTCCAGTGTCCATGGCGAAGCGGGGCGGCTGATGGTGAGCGCGAGTTGCGGAACGGCAAGGGCGAGCGGCATGCCCCGAAGCTCGTCCTGAGCGTGGTGCTGCCTGTGACGCGAGGCTGGCGTCGACGAGCACGGCCATGGCTGCGCGCTCTGAAGCTGCTCGACCAATTTTATCAGCACGGTCTGGGGGAGCTCGGGCATTGCGATCTCGGTCGAGTCTTTCGCGTTTTGACGGCGTTATTTCCTTCTTCGGCTAGCAGGTGGGGCAATTCGGGAGGTCGAGCGTTCTTCGCTGGAAGAAGACATGGCTGAGACTGCGGATTGACGATGAACTGATTGCTGTTCTGCTTCAGGATGTTGTTGTCGAGAGCGCCAGACTCCAGGGCCTTCGCGGAGCCACCACGTGGCAGATGCTGCAGCTGGGGAACGAGCAGGTCGACGTCCAGCGGGTTATGGAGAGGAACGACGGCGACGTCAGAGAGGCCGAAGTCTAGCTGGTGCCCGGCGACGGAGGTCGACGCGCACGGCAGCGCGATATGGATGGCAGCCTGCAATGCCAGCACAAAGAGCAGGAGTGGGCGGCCGCACGCCCCTGATTGTAGCGGCAAGGCGCTTGGGTACCAGCTCACCCCTGATGGTGGCTGGAAACCGTTGGGGTCGGGCCTCGGCTCAGAAGTCTCCATGCGGCCGCAGCGCGGCATGGTGACTTGAGCCACAACGGCTACGGGAGGAGGAGGAGGAGGAGGAGGAGGAGGAGGTACCAATGGGCTCGTCGTAGGTACGGCGTGCTGCTTTGGCATATCAAAGGTCACTCGCAGAACCCCTGGAATGAGTTCGCCGACTCGGTTGCTAAGGATGTTGAGGTTGTCGGTTCTGAACCTCCAGAGGCCCTTCAGCAAGCACTATATTTTGATCGCGCACTCGATTGGTTGTGGTTATCGCAAGCCCAGCACGAGAAATGTATCGAATACCCGATCGACCCCGACAAAAATTGGATTCGAGGCACTCGGCCACAATGTATCGAAAAACCCTTCGGCCTGACACCGACGGACATAGTTCCTAAGCATACTGTCTGTATTTCATTGCGCGCTGCCACATACAATGCACAATCTGCACGTGATGCGGAAGCCACACGTGCACGACAGATGAAAGTTGCAGGTGAGAACATACGTCAGCAGTTTCGGGACGCGAACATCATCTTGGCAGGAGTTCAGGAATGTAGAAACCCTGAGGGAGTTCGGGAGTCCATGGGCTATATCATCTTCTCTTCGGGATGCTCTGGCGACAAGAACCTCGGGGTCGAGCTTTGGGTTTCCAGGGAGCTCCAGTACGGCACCAAGTCTGACGTCCCACTTCAGTTTGAGCGCAGGCACTTCACGCCAGTGTATCAGACGCCGAGGCACCTCATAGTTAACTGTCAAGCGCCGTCGTTCTCTTGCATGATCATGGTTGCTCACGCTCTGCACAATGGAGCGGAATATTCTGACCATCAGCGCGCTGCGTGGTGGCACCAACTTCGATTAGCCACACTGAAGTTCAATGTGCAGTTGCTTCTTCTGGATGCCAACGCTCGTGTCGGAGAGATCACCTCTTGTGCGATTGGCGACTTTGGGTTTCGTCAGCCAGAGGATGCATCAGGCACCCTATTCCATGACTACCTGTTGAGTATAGGTAGATTTGCGGTGAACACGTTATTCCCCACCAGCTCAGACGGAGTTACGTGGTTGGCCCCCTCTAACAAGGCGCCCCACAGGCTCGACTATGTCGTCGTCGCTAGCGAGCTTATCGACACCGTCGTGGAGAATTACACTATCTTAGACATTGATACGAATGCAGAAGCAGCAGATCACAGGCCAGTCGTCGTCCTTCTTAAGTCGTCGTCTCTGG